GATTGCCCCTGGACCTGTGTGGAGGCGGTGTGAGAGCGGGAATAAAGAATTGCTGTTTGAACCTACAAAGTGTGAGTGCCTCGTGATTCTGGTGCCAAGCCGAGACATTGGCCTTTGGCAATAACTCAGTGTAGAGCACCCTGGGTTCGCACCCTGGGTTCGTTCCCCTGTGCGGCAAACTGGGAGCACATGTTGGCCCCCAAGAAGATGCCATGCGGGGGGCAGCCAGAAAGTAGTGGGGAGCAGCATTGAGACAGGGCATGGATTACAGACCCCCTAGAGAGGTGGAGAAAGGGAGGAGGAGCACCCTATCAGCTGAGCTGCTGATGACCTGCTCTGTCCTCTCTTAGAAGTTTGGTCTGTACATCTGCACTGTAAACCATAAAGTCCACCTTCCCATGGAGTTCAGGGTTGTCCCAGCCATGGAGGAACGAGTGGTGTGGTCTTAGGACTTAAACTTAGAGTTGAGAGCTGGTTAGTAATGAGGGTGAGAGGGCTTTTACATGCATGAGACGATTTTGTTTGCTTTTGGGAACTGATTCCTTTCTCTTGACAAGTTGCACATTGAAACCACCAGTTAGAAAACGTCAGGAAGATTACTAAGGCTTAGATTAGGTTGCAGTAACTTAAACCTCATCGTTTGTTCTTGAAAAGATTTTTATTCCTTTTTGCCTCAGATACTCTTGGATTTTGCTAGTAAGATCTCAAATGCCTCATGCTGGCTGGCAACTGTAATTTTATTAAGCATGAATAACATACAGATTATGTAGGCATATCCTCCATCCCCCCCAAATTAAATCTCCTCGAGAGAATATTTCAAGTAAAAATATAATCTGTTTTTGTCCTTCTGAGATAATATTGAAGTTATTCAATTAATAAATTTAAAAATTCCAGTTAACTTGCCAACTGTCTAAAACAGTAACAACTTCTGTTCATAATGAAGGGTGAGTGTAGAATGCTGTATTGACCCAGGTAGAAAAGCACCTTGAAATGCAATCCATTGCTCAGAACTTCACCCTAAGGATTCCCTGCCCAGTTAAAAGGTACCCTGAGACTTCAGGGTGCATGTGGGTGGCTAGGCATAGATGTCTCAGTTTACCAGTTACCCTGAAAGCGGACAGGCATTTCACAAGCCTGAGTGGGAAACAGACTCATTCACTGTTGACTGTTTTCCCAGAAGAATAAACACATCTCTATATATTAAAAAACAAAAGTTGGGCTTGGTGGCATTACACCTATAATCTCAACGCTTGGGAGGCTGGGAACAGAGGATCACAAGTTCGAGGCCAGCTTCATCAACTTAGTGAGGCCCTAATGCAACTTAGTGAGACCCTGGGGGATGTGGCTCAGTGGTTCAGCACTCTTGGATTCTATCCCTGGTACACCCCCCCCCCCCAAAAAAAAATGTCCTAACTGACTCTAAAGGAGTCATTCAAGTTTGGGAATGGGAGGAAGCTGTGTCCTGAAACTCCTCCCTCTCAGTGTGGTGTGGGCCTGGCCCTTTTTCCTGGGTCAGGAGGCCTATGTCTGGCAGGGTAACTGGGCTCTGGAAAAGCTCACCACTAGCCCTGGAAATGCCCTCCTGCCCTGGCCATGTCTTCTAGGTCCCTGGGTAACCTCCTCTTATGCAGCCCATCCAGAGTGGTGGTCTCCCTGTCCCCACCCTGGCCCATACTCTTTGTTTAAAAATCCTCTTGTGTTGTGAAACGTCTCATACTGAAGTGGCCTTTCTAGGGAGCATGCTTGCTCTCTTTTTCCCTGCTTGAAGCCTATGAGTGGGTCTCCATTACAGTGTTTCTTAAAACCTGTGACTCAGGAGACAGTGAGGGTGTTGTGACCCAAAGTGGAAAGGGCTGAGGTGTGCAGCTGCACCCCATTTGTGGTGTGCCTGGAGGGACCCCAGCCTGTGCATGCCCCTGCCTGCACTCACGGCCCCTTGACTTAACCCCAGCAGTGCAGAGCCACCCCAACACACCCTGCAGGAGAGGTCCTTCTTTTGCTTGGAGTCTCTCGCTGCATTTCCCTGGGTTCCTGTGGCACCGGCCTGCAAACCACCCCGTGCCGGGCCTCTACGTGGGCTAAAGGCTGTTGCTCTGGACCGTGGCCCCAGGCCCCCACTGCTCCTTCCTGTTCTTCTCAGGGCCATGTGGACGGCGGGGTCTGGGCTCTGTGCCAGACCAATGAAAGGAGTGAGGACGTCCCCCTGCATGACTTTGGGGGAGTGTGCCCAAGGCTTCCAAAGCCCTGTCCCTCTAGGATGGTCTCTGTGAGGCTGTGCCGCCCAGGGCCGGGGGAGCTTGTGCCAGGAGCCGGAGAGCAGCCCTTCTGTGTTGTTTGCTTGTCTCCCTCCTATGCTGTGCAGGGTCCCTGGGGTGCACCTTGAGTCACCTCACCCCAAGCAGGAGACCCCAGGGTGGTGGCGCGTTCAGACCTAGCCTCCTTGCCTCTCCCTTCCTTCCTAGCTGTCTGTCTTGCACCTGGGGTGACTTGGTCCCTGCTGCTGAGTCTGCGGCCTAAGCACCCAGCTGCCTGCTGTTGGATGGCCTGGCTGTCGCCCTGCCAGGCACGGAGTTCCAGGGGCAGAGACATATGGGCCTGGCTGGGGTCAGCTGTCCAGCCTGGTCTAATCAGCAGAGGCCAGGTATCCAGAGGCAGTTCTCATGGATGGGGGAATCTTCATGAGCCCCGAAGACACCCCTGGAGGAGCCTGTGGCCCTGTCTAGAACGACCATGTGTACCCACAGCTCACTTTGCTGTTCCACCGTGGAACTCTTCTCACTGGAGTCCACGAGTCATTCACGCGACACTGTGAGGAGCTGCAAGAGGGAACGTGGAAGGCCCCTCCCCTTCAGGAACAGGTGTACCTGGAGCAGCAAGTGCTGTCCCTCCTGCCCACTGTCTGTCCAGGCCTTGGCCCATGAAGGCTGTCACACACGCACACGACCTGGGCACTCACCCTTGAACCCCATGGTCAGCCCTGGGCTGGGGGAGGCTTCTTGTTGGCAGACCTTGGTGCTGTGCCCTGTGCCCTGTGCTCCTGGCCACCTGTGGAGCCTGGAGACTCGCATTCCAGGGTGCTCCCTCACACTGCGCTCTGTGGGTGGGCCACGGGTGCCACTGGGGGTCACTCCGTCTTCTCTCCCATCACCAAACAGGGTCAGTCCTGCCTGGTCAGATGGTCAGGGGCCATACCCAGCCCCAGCTGCTTCTTTAGGGGTGGGGTGTGGTGGGCTTCCTCCCATTCCCATCTCCGGCTTCCCTGACCCTGGGCAAGTGCCCAGAGCAGCTCAGGATTGATGGGCCATCTTTTTATTTTTTATTTTTAGAGCTTTATAGTTTCACATAGTAATTGTGTTCACCCCACCAAGTCATACATGCGTGGACTTTGATTCAGTTCATGATTCCCCTTTTCCTTCCCATTCTTCCTCCCTCCCCTGTTCTCCTCCTCTGCTCCACTAGACTTCCTTTCTCTCGTCTGTGTGTGTGTGTGTGTGTGTGTGTGTGTGTGTGTGTACGCGCACACACACATAGGGTTAGGGTTAAGTTATATGTATCAGGTACCAGAGTTTAAACACAGGGTCACTTAACCACTAAGCCACATCCACAGCCCTTCTTATTTATTTATTTTTGAGACAGGGTCTCACCAAGTTGCTTAGGGCCTCTCTAAGTTGCTGAGGCTGGCTTTGAACTTGAGATCCTCCTGCCTCAGCCTCCTGAGCTACTGGAATTACATGCATGTACCACTGTGCCCAGCTAATTTATATTTGATCTGTGCTTTTCACCTGTGCATAAAGGTAGATTTCCTGTGATGTATTTACATATGCACATGACAGTATTTTTTAAAAAAATTTTTAGTTGTCAGTGGACTTTTATTTATATGTGGTGCTAAGAATCGAGCCCAGTGAGTCACACATGCTAGGCAAGCTCTCTACCAGTGAGCCCCAGCCCCAGCCTGTGGCATGAGTTTTTAAGAACTCATTCTGCATTGCCTCCCCTACCCCATCTCTCCTCTCTACCTCTTGATTTCCTTCTTCAGTACTGATCTTTCTTTTATATTTATGACAGTCTGTCCCTCCCTCTCCCTTTCCTTTTATTTTACTCTTGCTTCTGTACATGAGAGAAAACATTGACCTTTCTTAATGACAAATAGAACGCTATTGTGTATGCATACCACAGTTTTGTGATCCGTTCATCTATTGATGGGCCTCTGGCTTGATACCATGATTCAGCTGTTGTGAATTGTGCTGCTACAAACATTGGGGTAGGTCTGTCGCTATAGTATGCCAGTTTTAGATCTTTTGGAAAGATACCCAGGAGTGGGATACTGGATCATGTGGTGGCTCTGTCCCTAGTGGTTTGAGGAGTGTCCCAACCACCCCAGAGTGGTTGTACTAGTTTACAGTCCCGCTGGCAGTACACGAGTGTTCCTTCTCCCCACAACCTCACCAGCATTTATCGTTGTTCAGCATTTATTATTTTATTCTTGGTTGTTGCCATTCTGACTGGAGTGAGATGGAATCTCAGTTTGGTTTTGGTTTGCATTTCCCTGATTGCAAGAGCTGTTGAACCTTTTTCCATCTGTTTGTTGGGACGGGCCCTTCTTGACCAGAGGCCAGCCTGGACACAGCCGTGTGACATGTTCTCTGCCCCTGTCTGCACTCCCAGCATATGCAACTGTGGTCCAGTGACAGTGATGGTGTTTTCTGTTCCCAGGAACAAAAAGGAGCGGGCACCGCAGGAGACGCCAAGGGAGACGTGGCTCAGGACCGTGGGCCTGGGGGCTGGCCTCGTGCTGGCTGCCTTCCTGCTCTGGAGCAGCCTGGGGACTGAGGATGGTGTCACCGAGGTCCTGGCCCATCGTGGTGAGGTCCTGGCAGGCAGGTTTATCGAGGTGCCCTGCTCTGAAGACTATGATGGCCACCGGAGGTTTGAAGGTAGGGTGTCCCCAGCCCCATGGCAGTTCTGAGAGCCACAGTCCTCTGTGCATTGTTTCATGGCCATTGCTGGACAATAGTGGCTCAAGCTACCAGCTGCCGGGCAGCAGATGACTGTCCCTCCCTGTCGTCTGGAACTGCCTGGCCTGGGAGCAGGGGCAGTGTCCCTGGTCTGGTGGTTCCAGTGGTGCCTGTGGTGAGGTCACAGACACGGCAAGGTGGGGAAGAGAAAGTCGAGCCAGAAGATACACAGAAGCTGCGGTAACCAGAAGGCCCCTGGCAGAGGGCCCTCCCAGCACACCGGCCAGCCCCACCCAGCACCCCAGGGGCAGCCAGCACAGGTGGGAGGCTGGAGAGGCGCGGGGCCCAGAGGAACCCCGGCATCTCCAGGCCTGCTGCTGTGGGCCAGTCGGCACCCTGGAGAGCACACGCCTTACAGGGCTGGCCCACACCAGGGCCCGCCTCTTCTCTGACTGCTGCACGTTCCTGAACATTCTCTGCCACCCAGATGTGTTGTCAGTTTTTAAAACCTAGCACTGGCGACTAGCTTTTTAGGACAGAATCAGATATTTTTTATTCCAGTATTTTTGCAGTACTGGAGATTGAACTCAGGGACGCTTTGAACTCAGACACACTCCCCCACTGAGCCACATCCCAGCCCTTTTCATTTTCTATTTGGAGACAAAGTCTCACTGAGTTGCTGAGGCTGGCCTTGAACTCGTGATCCTCCCAGGTACCTGGTACCACTGCACCTGGCCATATTTTTAAAATTTAAAAGTTCATGGGGCCGGAAATGGCACACATCTATAATCTCAGCTGTTCAGGAAGCTGAGACAGGAAGATTGCAAGTTTGAGGCCAGCTTCAGCAATTTAGTGAAACCCTCGGCAACTTAACAAGATCCTGTCTCAAAATAAAAAATGGAAAGGGCTGGGGATGTGGGTCTGTGTGTGGTCAAGTGCCCCTGGGTCCAGACCCCCTTACACGAAGGGCAGAGGGAGGTCCCGCGGGCCCGAGCCTGGTGCTGGTGCTGGTGCTGGTGCTGGGTGTATGCCTTTACTTATTTATGTGGTTCTTGGATGGTGGCTCCATTTCCAGGTTCTAGGTTCACTTTCTGAGTAGGAAGAAGGAAAAAGGGATAAAAAGCAAATTGTAGCCAGCCTGATGTATCCTTAGGTTGCTCACCTTGTCCAGGGCGTGGCCCTGCCTTTTGCTGCCAGAACACAGGACTGATCACCTGTTGGGCTCCCATCTGATGCACTGCTGCATCCTGGCCCCATCTACCACTGGCCCGTCCCTGTTCACCCCAGCCCTGTCCACCACAACCCTGTCCCCATCTACCTTCCTGGTCGCCGTCTACCTGGGCCCTGCCTACCTCCCTGGCCCCATCCACCACCTGGCCTCTGTTCACCCTGGCTCCCCTGAGTTCTCAGTCGCCTCCCTCTCAGCTCTGCAGGTCACCAGCAGGGAGAGGCAGAGGGACTTGGTGGGAATGGCCAGGGCTCTGGGGAAGGGCAGGGCTGGAATTAGGAGTTCTGCCGGGTGTCTTGGAGGCCTCTTGAGGGAGCCTGAGTGCTCAGACGTGTGGTCAGCGTGGCTCAGGAACGCAGGTGGTGTGAGTCAGGGGACACAAATGGCCTCCTGGGGCTGGTCAGCCTGTCCATCACAGGGCCACTGGAAGCCCAGGATGTGCATGGACGGAGCTGAGGCTGTGGGCAGGGTCTTGCTCATCAGAAGTTCCCCTGTAAGCGGTACGTTGGCCACACTGGCCACCCTGGGTCTCTAGAGGGGCCTTGCCAGCCATTGTCCCGGGACAGTGGCTTTAGCGGCCATCTCCTCACCCTGCCTGTCTCCCTCTAGGCTGCACCCCCAGGAAGTGTGGCCGGGGTGTCACCGACATCGTCATCACCCGGGAGGAGGCACAGCGGATTCGCAGGTACCCCATGCTGCAGTGCTCTGTCCAGGCACCTGGTCAGGGTTGAGCCACGGGTGGGAGGTGGCCGACTTCAGACAGGTCAGCAGGGGCATCATTCCCCCGGGCTCTCAAGGGGAGGCGACAAGTTACTTGCTTCCCACAAGCGAAGGCCACGGCCCTGCTGTCCTTTCTGACGGAACATTCCAGAGGCCTAGCCGACCCTTCAGGGCAGCTTGCCCACAGCTGTCCAGGGAGCCCAAGGCCATCCGCCTGGAGACTGCTCCCCCTGCTCTGGGGAAGGTCCCCAGATCCTGTTCCCGGGTCTGCTCTCATCTGGGCAGGCGTCATCTCTGCAGAGCCTGTCCCTCTCGGGACTGCCTGTCCCTCTGGGGACCGCCCGTCCCTCTGGGGATCGCCCGTCCCTCTAGGGATCGCCCGTCCCTCTAGGGATCGCCCGTCCCTCTGGGGATCTCCCGTCCCTCTGGGGACCGCCCGTCCCTCTCGGGACCGCCCGTCCCTCTGGGGACCGCCCGTCCCTCTGGGGA